GTTAGATCATGTAACACTGCTTTTCTGTATCGTTATAGGTGGACTATGTCGAGCCTGCTCAGAACCAAGTGACCCTAAAACTTGTACCCCGTGTAGATTACAGCCGTCCGCGAGGCATTGCAAGAACTGCTACAGATAACCAAGAAAAGAGAAAAAGAAACAAAAAACCAACTCAGAAATTATTCGATGTGGATGCCATAAGGTAACACACTTAATTGAGTTCTTGTTGTTGAAGCTCAGAGTCTACGAATTTCCTCTGCTTTCCTAAGGGAAATCATACCAGTACTAAATGGAATTTAGTTAGCAATCGATGCATGCAGTGGTGTTGATTCATGTATGGCTGGTACTTTAATATGTACTGCATATAGCCTTACTGTATTAAATATAAATATGCCACAGAATAGAGGTTTTGGTAGTATAAATCCTGCTCACAGGGATATTCAGATATTCCAGTTGAAGTTGTATATTGGAATCCCCTCACTTTTTCTCCTCTTTTTTGAATCAGTTTGAAAAATTACACTGAATGTATAGGTTAACAATAAGATAATAACAAAAAGTCATGAAGTTGATCTCTTTTAAAGAGCAATCCTACATATGTGTTGTATTTCAGGGCAATTGGTGGTGAAGTGTCCACCGATGGTGACTTCCTTATATTTGAAGGCAATAGATACAGCAGGAGAGGATTTCTCTACAAGACATTTGCCATGAGTGCAATAGTGAGTAAACTGTCATCTTGTATTGTACATCTTGCATCAAAAACAATAGAATTTATCAATTTATTCTAAAATGCATCTACACTAGTTCAAAGTTTAAGTTTACACTTATACAGGCTCACCAACATTGCATGTATTCAAGGTTATTGATGTCACATTCAAGCACCATTCTTTGTTTACATTGGGCGCAGACCGCATCATGACAAAAAGGATCCCGTCACTGGCTGCAAACATGCACATAGTGCAAAATGTTTTTCATTGACGTTTTAGCTGTTTTAAATTATTACAACAAACAAAGAAAAAATATATAACAATGATGTTAATCACATTGACTTTTACTAGGCATTGTCAATCTGATCTCCATACTGCTATCATGCACACTGTAAGATGTTCACTTGATAGTCTCAAAGTAAACAATTGACATATGCTACACATTACTAGGAGTGCTTTTACCTTGCGTACTATATAATAAAGCTGAGCCGCCACATATATATATCTACTGATATTGTCATGTGTGTCTATAATTTTTGTAGCCATGTTTTTTCATAGTGCGACTATCCATTTTTACTTTATTAGATCGCCGAGGGCATTAAGCCAACGCTTTCCGAATTGGAAAAATTTGAAGATCAGCCAGAAAATTTAGATGTTGAATGTATCCTTTTATGTGTTATCTGGTGCATCAAAGCCATTCATTGTGCGAGTTGATCTCAGGAAGGTTACAGCGCCCTCTATCAACTCAATTCATGAATATGCGTTATTAGTAAATGCTGCTCCCATTGTAGGTCTATTATCCCCTGCTAAGTGAAAACTGAGATTGCATTTCTGAAAACTTTTATAAAAGAATATGATCTCATTGTAGATGAAAACCAAATCTCGCTCTTTAAGACTACATTTCTCAATACTGATGTAAAGGAATGACATTGTTCAGTAACATGTGATGGTGTCACAGATAACAAAGAGTTTCTCTGTTTTGTTGGACCAATGGCATGGGTTGTTGGCATGGACCAATGGCATGGGTTGTTTTGTGGGACCAATGGCATGGGTTGTTGGCATGGACCAATGGCATGGGTTGTTGGCATGGACCAATGGCATGGGTTGTTGGCATGGACCAATGGCATGGGTTGTTAGAACAGTGTTTGATTGTTAATGCCTTGACTGCTTATCATAGTGGTGCCTGAGTCAAAAAAAAGTGAGAAACAACTACACAACTTGGCCCCTGGTGACAGCGTAGAGGTCATAGAAGGAGAGTTGGTACATCTACAGGGTAAAATTATTGGTGTAGACGGAGATAAAATAACAATAATGCCAAAACATGAAGATCTTAAGGTGAGTTTATACTACTATATAGGGTGACTGATTTGATAACTTGTCTATTTATTCTTTTCTGCCTTAACATCAGGGGGAATACCACCCGTAACCTCAGGGGGAATACCACTCGTAACCTCGGGGAATACCACTCGTAACCTCAGGGGGAATACCACTCGTAACCTCAGGAAAAATACAGGCCTTAACATCAGGGGGGAATACAGGCCTGGAAGTCTGAGGGAATACCTGTCTAGAAGTTTTAGGGTATATAGGCCTGGAAGTTTGAGAGAATACATTCCTAGAAAGAAGTCTTGAGATTATGGACCTGGAAATCCAAGGAAATACCTGTCTTGGGGAATACATGCTTAGTTTCTAGTTGTGAAGCCTACAGTTATTGAGTCTTTGGGTGTATTACAAAATTCTACCCATAACAATGATAGCAGATCTTTAAAAATCCATGGGAATGATACAAGTATGGTACAAGTACCGGTAATGTTGTTAACCCAACCCAACCCAAAACATATAATTTAAGGTAATGTCATTCATTATTCATAAATGTTATTTTAGGAGGGGGTCCCTAGCAACCACAACCATGTCCATAGCAACCATACAGGAATTAAGAAATTTTGAATGTCTGAGACATGGATTGTTCATCTATGTGCGAATAATGGCAATCAAGTTTAGTTCAATGTGGTGAATGATCTTGTATCTATTACAGGAGCCGCTCGATTTCCCGGCACGTGAATTACGCAAACATTTCCGTATGGGTGACCATGTGAAAGTGATTGGTGGAAGATATGAAGGTGACACAGGTTTGATTGTCAGAGTTGAAGATAACATGGTGATATTGTTTTCTGATTTGACAATGCATGAGGTATGTAACTTTCTCCTTTTCTCCACCCTATTATGTACTTACTCTATTAGCTCTGTTAGTAGCGCATATGCTTCCATAAATGGCTGAGAAATGCACATGGTCAAACATGTATTTTATAAGACTACGCAGGCAGTGTTAATATTTTATGTAAACGACTAATGTATTTTAAATGTGTTGTATACATCACATAGGACTTATATTGAACACTATGCACCATTGTCAAATCCTGTTTTGATCCAGATGCTAGTTTTGGTTTATGTGCATTTTCTTCTTGTACTAAAAATAAGACATTGCCAGCTTTTTTGCCTGCTTGTAGCAATTTACTGTATCTGCTCCATTAGAATAAAAATCAAATATTGTACTAATTGTACACTACATAATTCAAATAGGATCTATTTTGACAACAAATACTCCTCTGTCATTTCATATTTATTTTCAGCCACCAGATATGTACAAATCACCTCTATCCAGTGTGGGTGGTTGATATTACTTAACTAAACTGTGATGTATGTTAACCACATGGTATCGGTCAATACTGAGTTTACAAATTAGTTTGTTTAGGTTAAAGATGTGTTTTATGTATGTATTATGTTTTTAGCTTAAAGTACTACCAAGGGATTTACAGTTGTGTACTGAGATGTCCTCTGGTGTAGACTCACTGGGACAGTTTGAATGGGGAGACCTTGTTCAACTTGAGTAAGTAGATATTTACAACTGTCTTATAGTTTTACATTTTATCACTGTACAGGATGGTGATAGCATCAGCTGTATGTGACCACCATCAACCTTTAATCTTTTCACCACTAGATTTTCTCAACCAATTTTGTTTGCACTTTTTTCATATATTCTTTAATTTGAGAGAATTTTCAGTTTTCACTAAAAAAATTTGGCTGTTTGTGTCCCAATCTTTTGAGGAAAGTGCCGACTATAAATGGGACTAGGTTAAACCAAGAGCAGTAATCTTCATGCAATACTACGGTGGAAACACCCATTGCAAACTTTCCATTCAACCAAACTAAGGGTATCAAAAGCTTACATCATTCTATGAGTGATTTGTTCTGTATGTTACAAGGCTTCTAGAATGTTACGTATTAGTGGTATTCTATTGCTTGTACATGTATATGGAATGTTTACAAATGAAGAGATACACTGTACAAAGAAGATTCTCATCAGTGCAGGCAAACAATTTACTGATTAGTTTTGGTTACATATCTGTATGCAGCAGAGTTTTAATGTATGATCACAAAAACATTTAATCCACCAGTCAACATGTACATTTGTCATCAGGTGACAGAGTTTTAAACAAGTTCAGAAATGCAAATACAAAGAAGATATTGTTTTGTAATGCAAATTGAATATTTCTAATATTTGTTATATTGTTTGCAGTCCACAGACAGTGGGTGTTATAGTTAGATTAGAAAGAGAATCATTCCAAGTGCTAAACATGCACGGCAAGGTATGTGTATTCTCCACTATTTATAACTCAACTACTACCGGTACATTTATTTTCACTGACATTTATTTTTACTATTTTGATTTTTTGAGCATATTTTAGTTACACAAGTTTGTCAAGGACACAATAAGTTTTAATGTTATTTGTCATTTTCATGTAGATTTAATTTAGTTGATTTTTACTCATCAGCGAAAATAGTGAAATTAAAACCCAGTGAATCATTATTGCATTTTCAATATATTAAACTTCATTATTAAACATACCTTAGATGGATTGTTGATGTCCATGTCTAAACGTGAAGTGTTACACCCAACTCTGGCAGTGATGACTGTGATTTCCCTGTAGTGTTACACCCAACTCTGGCAGTGATGACTGATTTCCCTGTAGTGTTACACCCAACTCTGGCAGTGATGACTGTGATTTCCCTGTAGTGTTACACCCAACTCTGGCAGTGATGACTGTGATTTCCCTGTAGTGTTACACCCAACTCTGGCAGTGATGACTGTGATTTCCCTGTAGTGTTACACCCAACTCTGGCAGTGATGACTGTGATTTCCCTGTAGTGTTACACCCAACTCTGGCAGTGATGACTGTGATTTCCCTGTAGTGTTACGCCTTTCTCAGACAGTCATTTTGAATTTGGGTCAAAATACGATTGAGGAGTACCCAAAAACTAGGTTGCAGAGTAGTCCCTCCAGGCTATCTAAGTCTGATGAAGTAATTTTTCAAAATTGCAGGAATTTCCTGTTTCATTAATGTGTTAGCAGTAATTTTAGCATTCAGTAGTGTTATCCAATGAATGCAGTGAGATTTCTGAGTACAACTACTGGTAATATTTGTTTAATGAATGACACTTATGTATATTTCATACAGTTAAACAATGTAAAACACCAAGCAGTATCTCAGAAGAAAGAATCCAGAAATGCAGTTGCATTAGATGCAGAACAAAACAATATACAAGTCAAAGATATTGTGAAAGTTATTGATGGACCACATTCTGTAAGTCCGTGATTTCTCTAAACTATGTGCACTTTCAAAATAACAATAATGAATGACCCATAGCACCAAATTGAAATGTCGCACTATCAAGCATAGACTCAAATACAGAATCCTATACGGTACTGAGGGTAGTTTATTGTTATGATATGATATTTTTCAGGCATGCCTGGGCTAGTTTCTTTGAAATTTGGTATGATATTTTGCTTTATGATTTGATTCAAAATGTCCAACTGGTGTTATTTTCTTGTGCTCTTATCCATTTCTCAGACATGTTTCGACATACTTTGATCAGAGTCGTTATAAAGACAATTTTTTTGCCGTAAATGTTAGTTCAGCTAAATTTAATGAGGACTGTGTCATTGACAATAACTTGTGTTTTTATGAATTCATTCCAAATATAGGGTCGTCAGGGAGAAGTGAAACACATCTACCGTAGCTTTGCTTTCCTACATTCAAGGCTGATGACTGAGAATGGTGGTATTTTTGTATGCAGAACTAGACATATTGTACTCGCAGGAGGATCCAGGGTGAGAACTAACCTGGTGACACATTGCATGGTTACTGATTTATCAGTTACTTACTCTATTTTGATCTGACTTTTTGCACTTTCACTTTCACACTTTACAGCCTGCACAAATAGACCCTGTCAGTGGATACATGTCTCCGCATATTGGCAGTCCTGCACATCCTGGTAGCGGTGGTGTAAGGGGAGGTGGTCGCGGAGGGGGTCAAGGCGGCGGCGGTCGAGGGAGAGGAAGGAGGGACATGGAACTTATTGGACAAACTGTGCGTATTCGTGAAGGTCCTTTCAAAGGCAAGTTTTTTAAACCTTTAAATCTTGTTTAAACTGTAACTTAATTAAATTAAATATTTCCTGTATCTATTTTATTCTGTATTTGATCTTTTTCTCCAATTCCTCTCAACTTTATTTGACTGTATTTTACAGGGTACATCGGCATTGTAAAAGATGCCACCGAGTCTACCGCCCGTGTTGAACTACATACCAATTGTAAGACTATCTCTGTTGACAAAAACAGGTTAAATCCAGTCAAGTAAGTACAAATCAGTGCTGCTCTGTTTCCAGTGAAATTAGAACCAAAATCAGTACTACCCCATGTGATTCAAATAGGTATCCACCATGCTACTTCATTCAGCTGTCTGACATCATTATGATATTATACACCTAGAATATATATTATCAGGTTTATTTCCACATAAATAGTTGAAGCGAATATTATTACACCTGATTTAACATACTAATAAACCAGCTGTGTGTGTTTATGTTTGCAGTCAACCTACTAGCCGAGGTAGTACCACCTCGTATAGACATACACCATTACATCCAGGACAGACGCCCATGTATGGTTCACGTACACCCATGTATGGATCACAAACGCCATTACATGATGGTGAGTATACATCTGTACCAACCTGTCTGTACGTCTCCAACCATGAATATAGTTTGTAAACCGATCATAATGTACCAATTTTAACTCTAGTGTCTGTCAATCACTGTAAATGCATTTACTATGTGAGGTATGTAGTAGTCAGTGAAGGTATTCATACATGGCATCACAGCACAATGAAATAAATATGAACTTTGCGACCAATAAAATAACCTTAAAGACCACATCTCTTCAGTACTGATATTAAGATTTGTGTACTTTGCACTCATCAGTTATTTGATATTAAAGCACAGATTCTATCAGGGGTAATATAAAGCTTTGCTGTTCAACTCATATGTGTACTTTATCAACACGCTGTGAATGTATAGGTTTCTAATGGTTGCTAATATCATATCTTTTATAGGTAGCCGAACACCTCACTACGGTTCACAGACTCCCTTACATGATGGTAGTCGTACTCCAGGACAGACTGGGGCGTGGGACCCTACCAATCGAAATACACCTGCCAGGTAGGATACTTAGTGTATAAAGTCAGTACTGTATTTTATCATTACATAGCATTACATAAAACACAAGATGATAAAAATATATGTAAGGAGAAATATTTAATCACACAGAAAATTATCACTATTTATTTTGGCTTTGGATATTTTATCTATTTCTTTCAAATTTATACCGGTAATTCTCATGCGCATGTTTTTTTAAATTATGGGTTAAAAAGGGGGGGTTTAACACAAAATCGCCCTCTTGGATTGGACTGTTATGAAAGATGTTGGGGGAGGTATTGCTATGATTCAACTGAAAAACCTTTTTGGTAGTTGTGTGTAATTCTCACAAAGCATTGTTTAAATCAGTCTAGAAGTCAGCGTTGTGTAATTTCACATGTTACATACAAAGCATTGTTTAAATCAGTCTAGAAGTCAGCGTTGTGTAATTTCACATGTTACATACAAAGCATTGTTTAAATCAGTCTAGAAGTCAGCGTTGTGTAATTTCACATGTTACATACATGCATGCATTAAAACCATATTGAACAATAAATAATGCTTAGTTTAATATATAGCATCTTCCAGTGACACAGTTGGTTTTTTAAGTATGTGAACAACGCCTGGAATAGAATAATCTCTTCATTTTGTTACCTCTTATCTACCTTTTATATTTAGAACTGATGAGTTTGATTATCGATTTGATGAACCTACACCATCACCAGCTTATGGTGGAACGCCTAATCCTGCAACTCCAGGTTACTCAGCAGACACGCCTCCTAGTAATGGTCCATACACTCCAGCCACACCAGGTAGTTCTACAATGTACAGTAGTAGTGATCATACATACTCTCCGTATCAACACAGTAGTACTCCATCACCAGGCGGTTACCAAGGTATCATTTATTTAAATCTTTCATCCTTTCATCACTGTAAATGCATTAATTATTCACTGCGTTTTAATTTTGTTTTTTTCGCTGTTCAGTAAATTCTGCTGAATTAAATCTCATGACAAATTTGTGAAATTAAAACGCTGTAAATATGCTCAAAACATCAAAATAGTGAAATTAAATGACAGTGAAAATAAATGGTTTTACAGTATATAGTGTATTCATGGCCTTTTCATTTTTTTTTTCAAAAGTTGGTGGAGTTGTTATTTTTTGATGGAAGTTTATAATCACAATGAATGAAATAGTATTTGTAAATTAATTAGTAGACATGAATGCAGTGAGGTTAAACAGACTAAATTAAATATGCACTATTTGCTAAAACATTTGTAAAATGTAGTTTACTTGTACAATATCTGCAAGCATATGTATCTTGTAGATTGAATACCTGGTTACCTCAACTTTTCTGATTTTAATTTTACTACCCCATCTTCATTCTGTAACAATATCCACCATAATACTTGTATATAATATGTGGTCTCATTGGTTGATATAGTTATCACATACAGCTGAGTTCATAAAGCAATGCTTGACTTCTTCTAATACAGGTACACCAAGTCCGGCAAACTATCAACCAGCTCCCAGTCCGGGTGGATATCAGCCGACGCCGTCACCAGCGTACCAACAGTCTCCATCACCGGGCGGTTATCAATTGACACCAAGTCCAGGTGGTTATCCTATGACACCAGGTGCACCTTCACCCGGTGGTTTCAATCCTTTAACACCGGGTGCCAGTCTAGATTCTGGTTCGTCAGAGTGGCAAACGATACATATTGAAGTCAAAGTGAAGGCCACACACGAAGACTCCGCACTCATTTATAAAATTGGTGTAATTAGAGGAATTTCTGTAAGTATACTGCTTGGGACTAGTTCAATGAGTAAGATGGTATGATTTTTATCACCTCATTATAATTTAATTTAAGTGATGACTTTATTTTCTTGGATAGTAGCGCATATGCATGTAAGTAATGGATGTGTCTATGACCAAACTTGAGTCAAATTTTTACAATCCAGAAAAAATAATTGCATTTTCCTCAGATGTGTCTAATAGCACCCACACAGTAAATGTACCCAAGTCAATGTTATAAGTTATTTTTATTCTTTGTTATAGGGTGGAATGTGTTCTGTTTTCATTCCTGATGAAGGACGAGTTGTAAACGTACACAGCGATCATTTAGAACCAGTCATGCCGTCGAAACAAGACAAAGTGAAAGTTATACTCGGAGAAGATAGAGAGTCCACCGGAACTCTTATAAATATTGACGGCCAGGATGGAATCGTCAAAATGGACCAAGCTGTTGGCAGTGATGTACAGTTGAAAATTCTTCATCTTGGACATTTAGGGAAGTTTGTTGAGTAGAGGGATTCCTCGTGTGCTGGCAAATTTGTGACAGAACAGAAACAATTTTCAGGAGATTGTTGACATGTGCTGGTGTGTTTCAACGTCGCCCATACAAATGGTGCAAACACAATAAAAACCCTGTTGTATTTATGTATACAGTGCTGAAAACATTTTCAATATGAATTTCTCCTCTCTGGTCGTAGTATATAATAATCATCTTTCTGTCGATTTTAAGCATGAGAAATTCGTTTTATGTATTTCTCATGTATAAGCAGCCATGTTAAAATGTGTACAAGCTTGAGGGGTCATATTATAATATCTACATGCTTAAGGAACCTTGTTCCAATCTATATGGTCATTGGCAACAATTGAATGTAATTAGCATAACAACTCCACAATTTCAGGAATGTTTTTAGTCAGGGTTTTTAAAATACAAAATTACATCGATATCTTGGTTGAAAAAAAAATCAGTGATTATAAAAACGTTGGGTGATATACAGATTGCTTCATTTGTTGTCAGAAAAGCAACATCAAAACAAAGTCTCTTGCGAGTTCAACCCAAAAAAGATTACAAGTGAGTTAGTTATGTGGAAAAGACTTGCAGTTTATTGTGTAAGAACTTTTTCAATGCTAATTTTATCTTAGGATGATACTCATACTTAAATACAAGAGCAGGTCAAAGGGCACAGTGGCAGGTCAAAGGGCACAGTGGCAGGTCAAAGGGCACAGTGGCAGGTCAACTCATGCCTAAGAAAATATTGACTGAATGACTGAATAATTTAGCAATGCTGGTAAAACACAGATAAATTAAGTTAATATTATGTGTTTTGATTTTTTTTTTTACTGTCCATAACACCACATTCTGTCACTCAATAGTTTTTGCTTTTATTAAAACCTAAGGTTCTACGAAATAAATCTAAGACAAAGTTCTGGGAATATATAAACCAATAAATTACAGAAATCTGTCAAGTAAATAATGTGGTTGGATTTTCAGATGGTCGAAACTGGAGTTTTTACAGCAAAATAGGCTATGGCACAGTCTAAATTAGCTTAGGGGGCCTTGTTAGAATGTATAATATTTTTGACAACCATCAAATGGAATTACAGCTGCCTTTTTGTGGGTGGGAGGGAGCCCTATTACAATACATATACTAGCTTAAGGAGCTTCATTACTATGTACCAATCTATTATTGCCAAACATCAAATGGAATTACTTCATATAGCTGAATGGACCCTGATAAAATCTACCAGCTTAGGTAACCTAATGACTCTATATACTAGCTTAAGGAGCTTCATTACTATGTACCAATCTATTATTGCCAACCATCAAATGGAATTACTTCATATAGCTGAATGGACCCTGATAAAATCTACCAGCTTAGGTAACCTAATGACCTTATATACTAGCTTAAGGAGCTTTGTTTCATTGCATATAATCATTGTTCATCAAATGTTTCAAACTAATGAGAAACATTTCACTTTTATTTTATTCAGCTCAACAGTCTTGAGGAAATGACTGATGTTATTTAACTACTACATTTGGGTTGCGTTATTTTCTTGTGAACATTTTTATTAAATTGATCATTTGTTTGAAAGCATTGCTTTTCCCTTTTTATTTTACACATTGCAGAGCACGAAAGTGGAAGGAAGAGAGTGCATGCATGTTTGCTTCTTTGTATATGTGTGTGTGTGTATGTTCTAAGCTTGTGACACTGATATCCCGAAAATATTCACGCCAAATCAAATGAAATTTGTTGTACCGATGGCCCTTGTATATTAGATTTGATCCAAATGTGTGCATATTAATTAGGAACTTTGCATAATAACTGGTTGACTTTCGCCTGCAAAGCTGCCACCCTATCTATCTGTATGTCTGTGTCCGTTTTCCACTGGTATCTCAAGAACCACTCTTTTGGTTTCAATGAAACTTTGTACATGCATACTCTGGGATAATGTGATCTGATTATTTTTTTAGTGGAAATCAGTGGATGATAATTAGCCAATTTTTTCCTGTTCTGCTAATGTGTTAAACCCATGAAAATTTGCATGGTTGTCTATTGACTTGATTAGTTTTAGTTGAAATCTTTACATATTGTGTATCTCATTGGCATATACTGATTAGCAATTCTCATTGTTATCTCAATAGATTTCACTGTAACTTTTCATTTGCTGCTCTGAGGCAATTCTTGCCACTCATCAACTTTGAGTTTATATTGATGTATATTGATAAGTTAAGATCAGAGACCCCAAACCGACCATTAGCATTAAAGTAATTCTGTAAATTTGGTGTGTTTTAGATGGTTATTACCTTGCCTGTACCATCAAAGATGGAAGGGAAAGGTATATTAAGGGAAAAATTTTGTCCGGCGTTGTTGTCGTCGTCGTTGTTGTCGTCGTCGTTAATAATTGTTATTTTGTGCATAATAACTTTACTAATTCTATTCCAAACTTTATCAAACTTGGTCACCTTATTCATCAGTATAAAGTCTTCCCTGAGTTTGAACAACAGATGTCCTGTATGAAAATATCATGCAAAAATTGAGAAAATCTGATAAAATATTTTGACTGTTTCTACTTGACTGATCACTGGTGATACACATCAAAGGTCACTGATCTCAGTGGAAATATGCATTGTTGTATGTGTTCAATGAAGCAAATG